TCTTTCCAATAAGAATAATACATAAACCTTTTTTAAAAAAAGATATACCGTCATTGAACCAGTCAAAATATGAAAGCAGTTCCAGGCCCAGGCAAGGTACACTGCTAAAATCAGGGGCTGGTGCAGCATTGCGGCAGGCTGGTGCTTAGCCTGTGGCATTGAGTCCCAGTTGTTCCACTTCCAATCCAGCTCCCTGCTTATGAGCTGGGAAAATAGAGGAGGGCAGCTCAAGTCCCTGGACCCCAACACCCACATGGGGGGCCCAGAACTAGCTCCCGCCTCACAGCTTGGGACCAGGCAACCTCCAGTCATTGCAGCCACTGTGGAGTAAACTACCAGCTGACCTCTCTCTCTCTCTCTTCTCTGCCTCTCCTTCTCTTTGTAACCACGCCTTTAAAATAAATAAATACATAGACAGATAAAATAAACCTTTTTAAACAGAGAATGAGTTGAGATTTAAGGAACTAGGGCACCGGCTGTAACAAGGGTTGTGCCCATGAAGCCAAAATTTCTTCTAGAACAGTGTGTGACTGAGACGCATGGAGAAATCCAGGATGTGTGTGGCGACACTGCAATGCCGGGGCTGCGGGCGGAGGATGTGGCTACAGGGCACTTCACATGGCAACAACTGGAAGGTGAGGACACGTCCCGGGTGGGCTTTGACACAACTGAAGACACAGTCTGCGTTATCCGTTGCTCACATGGTCCACTCAAGTCCCACTGATGGTCCTGGCCACTTGATAATGTGATTATGAACCCTCGCTTGCTGGGGACTCCAAGGGGGGGACAGTCATGGCCCCTGCGGTGTTGGCTGTGCAGCCAAGCAGAGCAGCTGGGCCTGCCTTCCACGAGGCCTCAGCCCCAGAGCCAAGGAGAGCACCCGGGTGGGAAGCAGGAGACCTTGCTGCAGCTCTGGCACCCCACTCACTGACATCACGCCCAGTCCATCAGAAGACCTGGAAATGGATCTCACTCAGTTTCCTTTGCCTCCACAGACTAAAAGCAGCTTAAAATGAACAACCATTTTTGTTTTTAAAAATGTGAAAATCATCACATTTGTCAATCTATCAAAACCCTCAGAGATAGTGGCTTTATTGAGTAAGGATCTTCCCTCTGTTTTTGTGCATCCGAAACTTTGTATAGTAAGCATGTTTCTCCTTATTTTGAAGCTTTATTAAGGAGTCAGCTCTGTGGCACAGTGGGTTAGGCCACTAGCTGCAATGCCAACACCCCATACAAGCACTGGTGCAGGTCACTGTTGCTCCGCGTTGATCCAGCTTCCTGCTCTTGCAGCTGGAAAAGCAGCTGAAGATGGTCTAAGCGCTCCGGCCCTGCACCCATGTGGGAGACCTGGGGAAGCACCTGACCCCCGCCTTCAGCCTAGCTCTCCCTTTGCTGTTGCAGCCACTTAGGGAGTAAATCAGCAGATGGGAGACTCTCTTCTCTCTGTAACTGCCTTTCAAATCTTCTCCTCCCCAAAAAAGTTATTTAATAATAATAACAGTAGCTGTCACTTGGCAAATATTCACTAGGAAGCAGGAACTCTTAAGCTTTAAGAGTCCATTGGCTGGCTTCATATTGCAGAGATTGTGTTTTGCGTTTTGACTGCCATGTGGCCCAGTGGAGCACCAGCTCTGTCGTCATCACCGTCTCCACTGCGTTCACTATTGCCACCTGACCCAGTGCCACCGCCACTTAAAAACCTGCCAGAAGCTTCCAGCATGTGAGCTGAACACACTGTCCCCGGCAGTCGGAAAACAGGGAGCTTGTGAAACACACGCTCTTTCGCTCTGGAGAAAATCAGAGCTAGCCTGGGGCCAGCGTCAACATGCAAAGGCAGTCAGCGTGCATGGAAAATCCACTGGGAACTTGCATGGATATCTGGACATTGCAGGCAAAAGCATGAATGGCAGAAACACAAAGATAACTCAGGATAATGCGTCATGGAGGATTTTTATTTGTTTAGGATAATAGCTTCGGATTTCCTTTCCATGCTGCATATATTAAGTTTTACAAAGAGAATGAGAATCAGCTGTCTATAGCATTCCACCTCTCTACGATATTTTCAACATGGATCCCCTAATCCACTGGTTCTTATGTCAAATTTAAAGTAATGATTTTCATATGTATAATGTATGCGCTCTCAATGATGCCAAGGAAATAAGATTCTGATCTCTCGTTCAAAAAAAGAAGGACTCTGTTTCTAATCATCAGATGCTAATTGCAAATAAATTAAGCAGATTGGAAGTCAAAAGTCAAGCAAAGATGCTACCAATTTATTCAAATAAATCTGCTTGGTTCTTATCTGCTTTCTTTCATTTTTGAAACCTGCCTGACTTCTGTGATATAATGGACTAAACACACACACACACAGAATAAAAACCTACAACTCTGTAACAACTAAGAGTATTTTGAAAATATCTACGTGTGTACTATTTTTATGTTTTTACTTTTATTTGAAAGGCAGATTTACAGAGAGAGAGAGACAAAGAGAGCAAGAGAGATCTTCCACCTGCTGGTTCACTCCCCAGATGGTCACTCTGGCCAGGCTGTGCCAGATTGAATCTACGAGCTTTGTCGTGTCCCACACGTGGGTGCAAGAGCCCAAGCACTTGGGTTACCTTGTGCTGCTTTTCCAGGTGCTGCGGCAGGACGTCAGATCAGAAGTGCAGCAGCCAGGCTTCGAACTGACTCCCATGTGGGATGCCTCTGTTGCAGGCAGCGTCTTTACTCACTATGCCACAACACTGACTCCTGTGTGCGTATTATCTTCAAATGGATATCAAACCCATCTAATAAAAGTAGGCTCATCCGATGGCTCTAAAAAATGATCCCAAGAGTCAGCAGTGCACAGGAGAGAAAATGTGTGTGCAATGCTTTCCCGAAGCCCATGGAGGAATTTGATTGTGGTTTGCGTCCCTGAGCACTTTAACGATTGGCATGGCAGCTCATGACTGTCAAGTTCCTGGGGAATCTTTCCTTCCTTAGGTAACTAGCTAAGCTTCCACGGGCTTGACCCGTGGTTTCCGCACCAGTGAGAAGGTCTAACATTAGAGTCCCAGCTGTGCCAAGCTGCTCTAGCACCCTGCAGCCACGACTTGGCAGGTGCCCTTGAGCTTGGTTCTGGCAAATCCTGCCTGAGTGAGAGCCTTTAGAGCAAACTCATTTTCCTTTTACACTGGGTTGGGGTTTCTTTGCCTCCTTTTCTAACATTTTGGTGGTTTTTTGTTTGGTTTTGCCATGACTGATCTTCATCAAGCCACGCAATTAGCCTCTTGTTTATTTCATTGATAAATCACCAAGGTTGTCTTGTACTCAGTGTGGCAGTGGGGAATGACTGTGTCTCACATCCAGGTCCCTGGTCCAAGTCCTAGTTCTGCTGCCCGCCCCAGGTGTGCACTCACTCACACCCACGACGCAGCAGGTGGGTCAAGCGCGTGGGTCCCTGACAGCCACGTGAGACGCCCAGAGGCAGTGCTTGTTTCCAACTCCAGGCAGGTCTAGCTCTGCTTGCAGGTAGGCACTGGGCAGCAAAGCAGCAGCTGAAAATCTAACTTTCTCTCTTTCTGACATTCAACAAATATTCAAAGAACAATAGCAAGAAGTTTCCTGTTTTATTATTACTTACATAGAATGATGTCCTTAAGAAGTGTCCTTTCTGTGCAAACCTAAAAACGTTCTCACAAATTCTCTTCTTTTTCAAATAACTTTTCAGCTATGCAAGTCTAAAATCTGATTTCTCCCACAGGTATAACACTGAAAAATGACAATGAACCCCTCCCAAGTCCAGCATGCCCCACAGTTAAGGTCCATTTCCCATTTGACCTGTCCATCCATTCCTCAAACCTCTCTCTTCAGAGACTGAGCCACTTCTCCAGGCTCCTCACCTACTAAATGGGCTCAGGGGCTCTCCTTCCACTGGGTGCTGTGTGACTGTGCCTGATACACCTGCTAGTCCTTTCACGCAGTTACGTTCTCTTTTTGGCATAAGCCAAAATACCGGATGCAGTGAGGCATCGAGGAGGTCCTTTGTTGCAGCAAGGTAGGGTCCAGAGCGGAAGCAGAGGGAGAGAGAAGGACAGGGATGTCTCCTATCATGGTGGCAGGAGCAGGCAGCAAGGGAACGGGAAAGGGGAAAAGGCGAAGGAGGACGGGGGAAGGACCAGGCGGAGGAAGGGGCAGCATGCCAAGGGAAGATTGCGCCTTTATTGTGGCCTGGAGCAGCGGTCACAGGGCCATGATGGATTGGTGGATGGGACTGCCGGAGCAGTAGGGGATTGGAAGTGGGTGGGGCTGGGGGAAGGGGCTGCCAAGGTTTGGTGGAGAGGGCTGTCAGGCACAGTGCCATGACGTTACAGTGGACTGGCAGGCAACAATATTTGAATCTAAAGGGTGCACAAATCTTAAGGAAGCCAACCTAGAGGAGGCAAATATTTAAAATAGTACTGAGTCCAAAATGGCAGGGGCCTCCAGGACCAATGGTCAAGTCACTCCTCACCACACTCAGCACAGAAGCCAGCCCATAACGCATGCTCAAAAGTGGGAACAGGAGCCAGCATTGTAGCTTAGCTAATTAAGTACCACTTGTGACACCAGCATCCCTCACGGGCACCATTTTGAGTCTCAGCTGCTAAGAAGAAGTTCCTAGCTGCTGGCTTCTCTCTGGCCGAACCCAGACACTGCAGGCATTTGGGGAGTGAGCCAGCAGGTGAAGATGATGGAAGAGTCTCTCTCTCTCTCTCTCTCTCTCTCTCTCTCTCTCTCTCTGTCCCTCTTCTTCTCTCTGTAATTCTACTCAATTCCACACAGTTCTACACAAGCCACACTGAGTTGGCCTTGAGTCCCCGAGAACAGATCCCGAAAGCCCTGCGTCTTCTCTGAGCTGCTTTTTTCACAGTTCGACTGTTAGCTGACATTCTACACAGCGCACCTGCCACCATGAGCTGACACGGAGAAGTGACAGACGCAAACTGAATGAATCAACAAATGCCACCACCAACCTAGAGAATACCAAGGGAAGCAGAGATTTCCAGTCATTTGAGTTTTGTTAGATCCATGTCCTTATTTTATTGATGTTCTATAAATGCATGCTGGTCAGACAAGGGCGACTGGCACATCTGCTAACAGATACTGGTCATTTCTTTGTGCTGGCAACATTCAGGTCCTTGCAGTTTTGAGACAATCAGTGACTTGTTGTCAGCCATAGTTGCCCTACTTGCAAAAACAGAAAACATCAAGTTATTCCCCCTGGCCAATGGCTCCCCTGTGCTAGCTACCATCCCTTACTCACCCCTCCAAAGCTTCTAGAAACTCCTCTTAAAGCTGAGCTCGGTTCACCTCTCCAATTCAGAGAGCACAGTGTCCTTGGAAAAAAGAATGGAAGCAACCTCATTGAACTTGCTTTCCAAGGGACAACCCAGAGTTCAGCCCCCAATGTCGAGTCTGGCTACCTGCGAATACCGGGTATGAACACAGGGAAAGCATGAACCACCTTGACAATGATCTGTAACTGTCATCAAACACACACACAAGCCCGTTTATGACATTTACTGGGGGCGGGCCTTATCTCTAACAGACACTGGCAAGGAGGGCCTCAGGTCATCGCTCTGCAAAGAATGGAAGATAACAGAATAAATGTGGGCAAAGCTACTACTCCGGGTCTGGGAGTTCATATGGAAAATTCGATCCACCTGCTTTTACGTTTAGAATTGGGGCCATAAGCATTTACCTAGTAAACACAGCCAAGTCCGAACATGGAAACCGTGGTTTCCATTAGTGTCAGGAGAGACTGACACTTCCCATCAAGGCACAGCAGGAAAGATAAACAGGAAATCACTGAGCCCGCTAGAAAAGCCATCAGGGAGACCAGAGAGGAGGAAAAGGGGAAAAAGACAGCCCCATGGGACGCCAGAGGAAACAATCAAGTCATCAGACAGAGGTGACATTCTGGTGCAACAGGATCAGATCTCTGGAGCAAAGAAAATGGCGGGATGGCTTGAGTCCTGGGGATCTGGGCTGCACACTTGGACATTTGTGTCTCAGAGGAGGAAAAGAAACTTCATGATGGTATCAGCACCGATAGGCAGTCACCTTTTCTGACAGCACAAGAACAAGAAATACAAAGGAATCTACTCCCTGCCCTTATGTCATCCGAGCCCCCATGGCATTGGCCTCATCAGTGGTTGTGATCTCATCGGTGAAAGGTTTCTAATGGAGCACAGATGTTAGGAGCCCATGCAGACCCCAGATCCCACTCTCCCACCTGCAGAAAGAGGCAAAGATCGTCTCTCACACTTGTGGACTGACTATCACACACAGCAGGTGGATTTGGGGCAAGTGTGTGGCCTGGCAGTGAGGACGCCTCTGTCCCACCTCAGAGGGACTCCAGCTTCCTACCAAAGCAGGCAATGGTGAAGATTCAAGTCACTGAGTTTCTGCCACACATGTGGGAGAGGTGCGTTCCATTGTAGGCACTGGGGAGTGAGCCATGAAGTGGGAGAATTTCTCTCTCCTTCTCAAATAATGCTGAATTGTTTGATTTAGTTGAACAGCTTATACATCACTAAACGTTATTCATATCCAGTTTTCTGCAACAAGAAGCAAAGGCTTAAGGCTTTGGTCATGGTTATTCTCAACATCTGGTCAAATACTTGGGAAAATGCCCAGCCCACTCAGCTGCCTTCGGCTTCCTGCCGGGAGCTGTGATGCCATCAGGATTAGCAACGCTAACAGGATTCTTAACAAGAGATGGCTTGACGAGAGCCTCATCATCCAGCCTCTTCTATGTCTTATGTGGTACCTAATGCCCGGACTGTTTTCTTATAAGATTGTGTCTGCTTCTTCAAACTGAAAAATTCAAATTGTCACCCTCATTCTCCAAGTGTTCATAAATAACTTTTTGTTGAGGAAATCAGGTTGATTAAAGAGTCTTTTTTTCTTCTAACATACCCTTGTCTACACTTGTTCCCAGCCAAAGAGACATTCATTTGGCAAAGTCACATGCTTTAAAGAAAACAGGAAAGATTACACTGCAATTGGGCTCTGCTCATTTCCCAGGAAAAAGGAAAACGATGGGTAGCTCAGAACTCAGAGACACGATCTTCAGTCCTTCTCACCGTCCTCACTGGGCTCCCCTTACCTCCTGTCCCTTAAAGTCCTTTGTCCTATTTCTGTGCCCACACCTTCTTCCCATCAAGCACCCTTCATTACTATTGCCAGAAAAATGTTTGCAAAACACAAGTTTCCTCAGTCTGCTGCATTCCTCAGGAGGCTTCAAGGGTGCATTGTTGACTGCAGGATCAAGCTTCTGTGTCCTGAGTGTAGGAGTCCAGGCGCCCTGAAGCCCAGCAGCAGTCAACTCCATGCCCCCGTCCATCCTGTAAGTCCATCCCTCCAGCCCACAGACAAGCTTCACTAACAGTCACCTCACCGTGCTGTTCATCCCCAGCCGCGGTCTCCTGTTCACCCCATTTTCTCATCCATGGTCCTCAGAGCTCTGCACCTGTCAGCTTCACTTCTTCTAATATGCAAATATAGATTCACTTTCTTTAAAACCACCTGCAAGGTCCTCTGAACTGACACTTGTTTTCCATTGTACCACCTTAGACTAAGAGATAAATATGTAAGTCAGAAATGTGTGAATGAATGAAGTAGGATGATCAATAAACCATCAAAGCTTCTTAACCAACAAGAGTGGGAGAACTCAAAAGTTGGGAATTGCAGAACTAATGTTAATCCCTCCAGAGCCAAGGCAGTAAAAAGGTGAGCTTAACTGGCATTGCACATTTTGTTCATGTGAGTGGAAAGGTGGCGGTTCATCCTTAGCCCTCCAGAGACCCAGCGGAAGGAGCCTGCTTTCTCCTCCCCCACCTCCACCTTGCTCTGTGGTCACCTTTGGCCCACTTTGCTCAGGGCCCGGAACCTGGGAGGGGTTTATAAACACTCCATCCAGCCCTGGTCTGGGGCCAAAGCCCAACCAAGATGAGACCAAGATGTTCTGTGCCCAGAGCTTGGGGCTTTCCACAACAGGGCAGGCCCCAGTACCAGGCACCACCCCAACATGGCGAGATGCCGGGCAGCAACAAGACAGTCAGGGAAAACAGTGGGGACCAAGAACAAGACAAAGACGGGTGACAGCGGAGAGTGGAGATGTGCAAGCATTCCTCCTTGAGTTTGATAGGCTCAGGAATCTCCCGCTTGGAGACGGACTCTGCCTGGCTCCTGGTACATCCCTTGGGCTCACTGGGGGCTCCTGGCCACCCGAAGGTGCTAGATCCCAAGCTTACTTAAGGCACTCTCTGGTAGAAAACCATGAGAGAAAGGAAGCTTTCAACTCCCCACTCCATCTTGCTGATGAGAACCAGGATGGAAGCAATATCCCTGTCCTCCCTGCATCAACATGTCGCGATGCTGGACCAGCCTTCGTGTTAGCAACCCTGAAACTGGCAGGGTGGAAGAGATTTCCAAAATGATCATACCAAGAAAATCAGAATGACCAGGGTTTCACTAACATGAGCTAGCCTGCCTGGCAAACCCAAGGGAGGGAGAGAAGGCTAACTCCAGTTCTCGACTGAAGCTAAGTTGAAGTCACTGAGTTCGCAAGAGACAAACACCCCATAAAACAGCACTCTGGCTCCCTGTTTATAGGGGAGTGGCCACTCCTGTTTCCTCCCAACAGGCCTGGAAATTAGATGGTCCTGAGACAGCAAAAAGGAAGACACTTGCCATAACAGATGATCAAAGTATCTGGCTGACTGTCGGTGGAAGCTCTCCAGGCTCTGTTTACCAGCTCCCTGCCTCTCTTCCTGTTCAGCATAGGACAACAAAGTGGGATCCTGGAGTCTATTTCAGAAAGCCCTGTACTCGTTGTGGGATTAACATCAGGCACAGCCTGACCCACAAAAACAATTGGCTTGCTAGATTAAGATGGATGTCAACATTCAGGCACCCGGTGATGGAGAGAAAAACACGGGCTTCTTACACATTTTCAATTAATTGCCACCCCACCTCCTTCCAAAAAGAGAAATCTTTCAAAGTTATAATTGGGTATTTACAAGAGTATTATCCATGTCATTAAAAAAGACACCTTACCTATGCAAAAATAACCCTAGGAGGTAACAGGAGAGAGAAGTTCTCTGAGATTTAGGTGCTACTTTTGTTTTCATGTGCGCCAGAGGCGGGGCTTCTCCTGGCTGGGGAATGGAGGCAGCCTCATCCAGGGGAAGCGGTGTGGTCCACGTGTCTAAGAGGAAGGTGAGGGGGTGACCAAAGATGAAGAGAACCACAGAACAAAGGCATGGAGAGGCATCTCCACGAGGCTGATGGTGGCTGTGCTCGAACCAGTCACTACAGGCCTCAAGCAGGTACACAGAAGTTGGGATGTATCCGACCAACAATACTGGGAGTGATCTGTGCAGTTACAGGATCCATGCCAGGTGGGCTGGTTGTTGGGACGTTTCCCAGGTGGACGGCAGGAAAAGGTTGACCAGATAGGAAAGCAAGGGGAAAGACCAGAAAGCACAACTTTCAATACTGGAGAAAGGAGATGCTGGCTTCCGAGCGTGAAGGAGAAGCAGCTAACAAGGCCATGCTGAGCTGAAAGACTGGAATAAGCCAAAAGACCCTTGAGGGCGATTGCAGTGGGCAGTATTGGTTCAAAGTGGTCCAGCAAAAATATTTTTGCAGATCAGGAAACTAAAAAAGCAAACGCACAACAACTGGAGCTCTGGAAGACGGACCTTGCTCACGGAAGGGCGCAGTGCCCACTTGAAGCTGTGGGTCCAGAGTGGCATCCTCAGTTTAAAGTGCAAGAGGTGTGCTTAGGCACAGATAACTCAGTAAAGAACCGCTCTCAAATTCACAGGAGGAGAAACACCAGCGACATGGATAATGCAACTTCACAAAGTCTAGAAAGGCGAATTAAGAGGGAAGTTCACGGGACAAGGATGGAGCCCGGTGACCAAGGCAACAGAGTCCAGCCTTTAGGTTGGCCCAGCTCTGGCTCCTGGCCCCCGCCACCTGCTGACGAAGACCCTGGGGGCTGTGGTGATGGCTCACATGACTGGGAACCTTGGTTATGTTCCAGGCTCCCAGCGC